AAAAAAAAAAAAAAAAATGAGTAATGAAAACAATAAAAATTTTAAAACAAAAGAAGGGGCAGAGCACAGTGGCCCATGCCTGTAATCTCAACAATTTGGGAAGCCAAGGTGGGAGAATCGCTAGATCCCAGAAGTTCAAGACTAGCCTGGGCAACTTAGTGAGACCCCACCTCTACAAAAATTTTTAAAATTAGGCCAGATTCGGTGGCTCCTGCCTGTAATCCTAGCAATTTGGGAGGACGGGTGGTTAGATCACCTGAGGTCAAGAGTTTGAGACCGGCCGGGCGTGGTGGCTCACACCTGTAATCCTAGCACTTTGGGAGATCACCTGAGGTCAGGAGTTCAAGACCAGCCTGGCCATCATGGTGAAACCCCATCTTAACTAAAAATAAAAAAAATTATCTGGGTGTGGTGGCGGGCACCCGTAATTCCAGCTACTTGAGAGGCTGAGGCAGGAGAATTGCTTAAACCCAGGAGGCAGAGGTTGCAGTGAGCTGAGATGGTGCCATTGCACTCCACCCTGGGCAACAAAGCAAAACAAAAAACAAACAAAAAAAAACCAACTCCATCTCAAATAATAATAATAATTTAAATTAAAAAATTAGCCAGGTGTGGTGGTACATGCTTGTAGTTCCAGCTACTTGGGAAGCTGAGGCAGGAGGATCACTTGACCCTAGGAATTTGAGGCTTCGGTGAGCTATGACTGCACCACTGCACTCCAGCCTAGGTGGGAGAACAATACCCTGTCTTAAAAAAAAATAAAGAAAGATGGCAGCCAGGGGAAGGCAGAACAAAGAAGGGACAGGAAGAAGCAGCCCAAGTGCCTACCATTTACATATGGCAAGGATATGTGGATCTCCAAGGGTTAATTAGACACCAGGAAGGAGGTGGGCTTGAGCTGTCTTTCCACACCCCAATCAAGAGGGCTGACCAGGAGGCAAGGAGTCCCCAGGCATAAGAGGCTGTGAGGTACATGTTAGAAAATGGGAGTTGAAGTAGAAAGCAGAGTTGCCAGATTTAGCAAAAAAAAAATATTGGGCTTCTTGCATTTTACCTAGCAACCCTAAGAGGATGTGGAAGAGGTTAAGCTAGAACCAAAGGAGCCTCTTTTTAAAATTTTAATTTAGGCCGGGCGCGGTGGCTCACGCCTGTAATCCCAGCACTTTGGGAGGCCGAGGCCGGTGGATCACGAGGTCAAGAGATCGAGACCATCCTGG